AGCAATAGCTTGCTACTTCTGTCACCTAACAGGAGAGAAATAGTTGGGTTTACATAAAATCTTCATGTGCCTATTCTGTGGACTGTATTACAGAATTTTATCACAAAAACTTGTGCGTGTTTGTGTGTCTTCTCCTAATGCACCACAAAAAATTTAAGATACATAACTCTTGACTTTAAGGGTGTCTATGGATATGTTTATGCTACATGTTATGATTCCAGAAGCACAGCGTGGAGCTCCTGGCAGGCTAATTTAGAGGCAGCAGCAGGACAGGTTGGCCTTTGCAGATTGACTAAGTGCTGCCTAATACCAGGGGTGGTGGCAGACAGGAGCTCTGCCCTAAGGAGTGCCGTTGCCAGCGCAGCTCCGGGCTCTTGGCCCTCTTACCGTAAGGCCCCCAGTGATTCTCCTTCGTAAGGTGTGTTGGAGATCTGTTGGTAAGAAATGGGAGCACTTAAAAGTAATAATTGTAGTATAAATGTTTAATAATAAATTATTAGAATTGATAAAAGACAGTGCAGTAGTAGTGCAGATATTGTTGTGACTAGTTGCCATATCTGAGGTCCCTGTGGGAAAGTTCAAAGTTAGTTGACTCACCTTAGGATCTGGAGCTTTACAGCATCTTTAATGCCAATGTAGGGATACAAAACCTTTTGTATTTTGGCTTTTGGAGGCAGGGAGAACTTTAGGGAGGGACAGGCATTTGAGCTGAAAAAAGCCTTTTGCTGCTGTAAGTACAAGCCTGTCCTTAGGCTTTGTTGCTTTGTTTAAAAATTGAAGCAAAGCCTAGGAAGGGGATGAAAGCTCAGACAGTGCCCTATTGTGTATTCAGTGAGTGGGGGGAATGGCGTGTGGATTCTGCCTGTTCTCATCAACTTTTCAGAGTCAGAGAGATAGGTATGTTGAGGGGGAAAAAACAATTCTTCCCTGAAATTTAAAAAAAAAAAAAAAAAAGATAAGTGAAGTACTCACAGTAATATCACTTGAGACTTTTGCAAGTCTCAAACATGTTTGGTTCCTATATAAAGGTTGTATATTTGAAGAGTTTTTGAGAATGTTAAATTGGCACTGTTCATTGGAAGAATATAATTTGTGTCATATAAAAGACCCAAAACCCTAATGAACCCCCTTCCAAGAGTCATGCCTCAATGTGTTGGAGGAAGGTACACAAAATGGAAAGTTCTCTGCATTGTTTGTATACTAAAATAATCTGAATTATTTGGGTTTTGTTTTTACTCTGTGTGTAAAAGGAGCATGAGGATATTGTTTTTACATAATGTTTGAAGTCAAAGTGTTCCAGCAACTTTAACACAACTTGTTATAAAAGAACAGCATAATACAAGCCCAGACTGGTGTAGGAATTGAAAGAATACTCACTTACAGTGAGACAAAATTCCCCTTTCACTAATGATTTAAGCACAACAGAGTACAAATTCAGTCTGTGGGAAATGCTGGGTTTTTTGGTTTTGGGTTTTTTTTTGGCCTGAAGCCATGACTTTCAAAAGAACTTGGTGAAGGTGTTAAGCATAATAATGCAGAGTTCCTTGTTTATTTTTTTAAGTTATTTAGGCACTGATTGATTTGCAAAGATCAGGCCCTTTGCCAAAACTTAAATCGATCAGGAACAAATGAGTTCTAAAATTCGGGGTGTAGAACTTGATTTTTTTTTTTTTTTTTTTTTTTTGTCTGAATCGAGCAGCATCATTTATCCATAGTGCTGGAACTTATTTCAGTGTCATGCAGTTGTTTTCACGGTTCAGTATATAACTCTGGTTTAAAAGAGCCTTACTATGTCCCTTCGTATCCTTTTCTTACTATACTTCTGCTTTCACAGATATAATTGAAAACTATGCCAATGCTTGTCACTTGTTAGGTGCCAGAAGTATTAATTTTGTGTGAAATTAGCAAACAATGCCGTTTAGAACCAGTGACTGTTTTGTAAATAATTGGTTCCAAAAAAAATAAAAAATAAAAAAAGTCATAGTCCCTGATTATCCAGCTCAAAAAATGGCATATTTATCAATTCATCCCTTCAGCTGTGTAAAGTTTTTCCTTTTTTGTTTGTGTTTGATTTGCATTACAGTCAAAGTGACACCACTTATGTGTTTAACAGCAATGAGCTGACCATCTAACTTGGTATATTGTTTGTAGTTACACAGACCTAGAATTTTTATTTGTGTGAAATTTCTTTACTAATTCTGTCCATGTGAAGAAGCATTGATGATTCTATGACTTTTGTTTGATATTCGTATGGAACTCGCATGGTTTTACAAGATCCTTGGTAAACCAGTATTACTGAAAGCGCTGAATATTTTCCGTTTTAATGCAAGTCAAAGCGAAATTTCTCAGTTAAGATGTTTGCTGCTTTGTCTTTCAGCAAGAAGAACCTGTGATGCTGACAGACACTGAATAAATATGGGTTTGATCACAGTTCCTAAATAAGGAGCTAAGGGACTGAAATATAGGTCTGAATTGGTGCTGTTGCAGGCTTTCGTCATGTGTCAGCTTTGCATGTATTATGAAATCTGTTCATAGTACGTAAAAATGCACAAACCGTATGACTGAACTGCAAAAGCCCCACTGCTGATACATCAAAGAAAGCAGCAGCTGTCATCCAGTTTTAGCCACGGTGCTTTTGAATGCCTTAATCCTCTTCCCAAACAGAAGGAGGCAGAGAGAGTGTGCTTTCTTTATAGCCCCCCTCTTCTTCTTTTTTGAAGTGTTGGTGTAGCAAAATCCAGAAGCTGTGTTAAGCAGCCATCTCTGCATGGCACAAGATATTATTGTCTTTGCATCTAATGTGAACATTACAGTCTTCCTCATGTACACTAAACTGTTTCAAATTTAGTTTTTATTAAAGTTAGAAATTACATTATGTTTACTCCCAAGTGTTTAAAATATCAAAGCAATTATTCAGTTGTACTTCATTTTCTTTTAGGTCTACATCAAACTGGAATTAACTTGGTATTCTTTGTTCCCTTTCAGTTGCTAAAGGGGTATATGTTGAGATTGTAGTCAGAACCTGAGTTACCAGAAACATACATGTCTACCAGTAGAATATATTTTATTTTGTGAAATTTTCACATTGTCAGATTTTTTTTAAACAAGTTTTACAAGACGGTTATTAAAAAATGGCTGCTCTTAGAAGCAAGCCAGATATGCAGAAAATATAAGTTTGATCTGTTACAGCTATTTTTAAGGTGTATATGGAGCAGTGTCCTGTCTCCAAAGTGGGTCATGGCAGAAGTCTGGGGAAGGGTATGAGAACTGAGCAAGCACACAGTGATGCTTCCCTGGTATACTTTGCTGTCTCACTAGCACTTCCCAAGTCAGAAGCTGTTCTTTAAACTAAATAAAGACAATTTTTTCATCATTAATTTGCCTAATCACTTTTCTAACTGAGTTTTAAGAATATTTTCCAAATATAAATGTGTATAAAAACATTTTAAGAGAATAGCATAGGAAAATTATTTATATTGAATCAAGTTATCAAAACTATTGGAAATAAATTATAAAAGAATGGGCTTTATATATTGGTTTTTATGTTTGTTTGTTTATTAGCCACTGTCTTGCAAAATGAATTTGCACTGAAAAGTAATCTCAACAGAGGAATGAAATATGCAAGTGTAAAGCTGCCAGACTACTGCTAGTTCACTAAATTGTCTGTCTAGATAAAATAATAGCGTATAATTTTATGTATTTGCTAACCTCCAGGCTCTCAGACCAAAAAATACTTTGCTGTGCTGAAATAAGTAAGCTGCTAGAGTCAAATTTAATGTTTTAAGAATCCATTTGTGTTGTCCTATTTACCCAAATAAAATTTCAAAAATCTGCATTAAAAAGTGTGTTGACTTAGGTTAGTACTGAAAGCCAGATGAGAGAAAATTCCTTTTGATGACAAGGTTTGGTACGTTTAGAAATGCTCCTGTTATTGAAGTTGCTCTAGTGCCAACTACTCCTACACTGGAGTCTGCTCATTTGTGTGACATGCTTGCCATCACAACACACAAGGAAGATCAGAGATTACACGCAAGAACTCCAGTCCTACTTCTGTTGTCAGACAAGGATCTCCCAGCAGTGACATTGCCTTCTTGTGGTTTACTCTTGCAAACCCATTTTCCCTTCCCTCTCCATTAACACCCATTTCCAAATTCCTCAGTCTGGAATGCCATCTCTTTACATCTTCAAAATCCTAGAAGCTTCAATATTACTCATAAAGAAAATAGTTAATGCCGAGAATGCATTTTAGCATTTAGGATGTTTATGACAGTTTTTTTGCTAGTTTTCACTGAGTCGTCTGCTTTGCTCTTGACAGAGCACAAAAAAGAAGCCTCAAGTTCAATGAAAACCTGAGATACTACGTCATTCCTATCAAATCCAGTTGTTGGCAGTTTCACTGGAATATGTGTGCTTCCAGCGGCTGTGTGGCAGGCAAAGGAGTTCTTGTGGGCTGATGTCCCCAGTCTTCAGTGGGTCAATATTGGGATGTCCACAGCTGTGTCCAGACACCTCTCAGGACAATGAAGAGATGCAGAAACTGAACAGCAGTTTCCAAGTGTTGTTAATTTGTGGGAGGATGGAGGCATCTCATGTTAGTTTATTCTTTCTTTGAATTTCTTCCCACCTGCACCCCCCCCCAAAGGTCATATACATGTAATATAGTCTTACAAAGTCTAGAGTAATGTTACTTTGAAGTTTGTCATATTAGAAGGAAAAAGGGAAAATAATTTAAAAAGGTCCTGCTTTGTTTTTATATTATTTTTTTATGTCAAACTTTGAAATAAGAAAGCAGTAAGTATGTGGTATGACCTGCTTTTGCATGTTCTGTGCTGCATTACTGAAGTACTACTATAGGTATTAGAGGATCGTTTTTAATTTTGATGTTTATTGCCCTGTCAGTTGCAAAGTTTGTTATATAAACATCAGAAAAGGGTGTTCCTAGACTGACCTATTAATTCATGTAAATGGCATTACTAAATATTTCTTTTTCACTTTTACAGGTTATTGAATCACTGGGGATTATTATATATAAAGCCCTGGACTATGGTTTGAAGGACAATGAAGAGCGGGAATTAAGTCCTCCTCTGGAGCAGCTTATTGACCACATGACTAATACCACAGAAACAGATGGGGGTAGGGATGAAGGATATGATGCTCTGGATGAAGGAGTGGAGGATGACAATGATGATGACAAACAGGAAGTTGAGGCCATTCATTCCTATAAAGATGTAATGAAGGTACAGTAATGAGCAGTTTATATTGTATTTCACTGTTTTTATCAATGAGAAAATCAACTCTATTTTCCATGTTACTGTCCAGTGTAATACTGGCTATATAGTTTTCTGATTTCCCTGGTCGTTCTGTGAGGTTTGCTTTCAAAAATGACATGCAGTAGTATTTCATGTTTGACAGTAAGCAACAGAAAATCCATGATCAACTTTATTGTTGGATGTGCTATTAATATCACATTCAGATTTCTTCCGTACACTGGATAGTCAGCCTTCCAGTGTAATGTCTGTTGAATTACATTTTATACACTTGGATACTTCATGGGCTATTTCAATTACTTCACCTTTTCATTAGTGCGGTATTAGTTTAATTATGCCTTATCAGTTTCTTCCTTTGCCACCCTCCTCTACTGAAGCAGAGGAGTGCTTTTGTAAGAGTAGTTTGTATGGAGTGAGTCAGGATACAGTATTTCATTGATGATCATTATGGTTGCAGTTCTTGACCTGGGTTGTGAGATTTGGAAATAGAGTTTATGAATTTTAATTACAACAGGTTCTTTAATGTTATCTGGGATACCATGAACAACCATTTAGAAGTATTAACCCTCTACTTTCTATAGGGTAGTCTCCATTACAAATTTTAGAGCCCAGTGAACTCTTAGTACAAGGGTATTAATAAGAGTGAATTTTGACAAAATTTGTATAATTGGTTTACCTCATAATCTCAAAGTTTAATACAGTTTTGAAATTTGTATGCTAACTTGTACCAGGTGATTAAACCCTGTATATTGCTTCTTCATAAATGCAAGTCCTATCTAAGGACGGGAAGCTTAGTGTGCCACAGAAATTAAGAGTGTAGTGGTTTAGCATGCAGAAACAAGATCCCACCAGACCCTGCCACTTCACGTGGGTTGATAATAAAGAGGGAAGCCCTTAGGAGTCTGGAATGGGAGTAACTTTTGTTTGGGATGCTTTTGTATCCTCCTTGCATCGGAAATAATGCTGAATACTTGATGTCTTTGTTTTTTCTCCCTCCCTCAGAGAAGGAGGAGTCAGAGTGAGAAATGAACGAAATGGCCTTTTACTCCCCTGTGCTAGGGAGAGCCTGGCTGGATGAAGTACTCTCCCCTTGATCCCCCACCACTCACTCCTGGCCCTGCTGAGGCTGTGCCCTCGCTGCAGGCAGCTGTTTTGCTCTCTCCTCCCTCTGCTGCTCCCCAGTGCCCGATCACCTTCTCTAGAAGTGGCCAGCAGCACCCTGCTAAGCCCCCGTGGGAGCTGCTCCAAACAGCATGGGTGTTACATAGAAGGTAGATGCAATATATTCCCCCAGTTTGGCAAAAATGCTGTGAATTGGCAGGACAATCAAAGTTGGATTGTTAGAAGAAGTTTCTCTTAGTGCAGAAGCAGACGAGACCTTTCTATGCAGAGAGCTGAGGGCAGTGGATTATAGAAGTGATTATTTTGCAAGTTCTTTACTTCTGCAAACAAGAAAAAATAAGTTTGGAAAACTTTACTGAACTCCTTCCGTTACATAGGTACACATCCCTGAAATACAAAAAGGATAAGGAAATGTTTGGTCAAGTTTCAACTGTTAGGGCTGCTGAATGGCATCGTTCTGGTTCTGCTTTGTTAATACTTATCCCTGCTAGTCTGAGGTACCTGTTTTAAAATCAGCATCTTACATGTTAATGTTTATCATATTTTGCTATTAATTTTTTATCATTCTGGAAACGTACCACTTCTGTGACTTCACCTTAGTGAACTGAAGTTCAGCTGTCATTTCTACATCATCCTAACTTTTACTCCTCCATCCCTTGGAATTCTCTTTTCTTGTTGTTGCTTTTGCCTAAATTACTTGCTGCATGCTTCACTGCCTCTTGCCTTTATTCCCTACTCTCTGTTGTTACTGCATTGATGGTACTAGAATGGCAGCATCGTTCTGCCACATTTTTGACATGAGTACAGATTTGTAAGATCCTTTTTTCTTGACTTTGTACCTTTTCAGGGGTATGACCATGTTTTGTGTCTGGCTTTTGCTTTCCCTCTGGTCCCCCTCTCCAGCAGTGGTAAACTGTGTTGCAGGCTACACCCTTATTTACCCAGTGACTGTTTCACAGAAGTAGTGTGTGGTCTTGTGACCATGAGGCTCCATTATTGTAATTCTCTCTTGGCAAGACTCACTGTGAAGCTTTCCCCTCTACAGTTCGTAGTGAATGCTGAAGCAGGTTTGCTCGTTGAATTGAGCAACTGTCATTTTTGCCTACCCTGCATTCTCTAAATTGCAAGCTTGGATGCTAGAGATGGGCTGTGTGCTACTTATATTGATTTTTAAGGTTTTTAACTATATAGTCTCCAGTATGGACACGATTTTGTCCTTGAATTGTGATTATATATTTTATCCTTCTCCAGAAAGTGTCATTGTCAGGTCCAAGGCTTGTCTGCCACTAAGACTGTCTTTTTCACCATTAATCACTAATGTGGGTGAGCCTATTTTATGACTAAAACACAGAGATAGGTAAGTTATATGTCAGGTTTTTCTGTAATGTGAAGTAAGCAAGGTCAATTCTGAATCCTCCCCTAACCTGGAAAATGCTAAATAACATGGTGGACACCTATTCCCAAGAACTGGGAAAAGGGTAAGTGTTAGATAGTACTGCCAGGATCATCACTGGCAAAGCTCCTGTTTGGAGAAGACACAGACAAGCTTTTGTGCTGCTTCTCGGTATATTTGGCTGATTTGGCTTTTGATTTCCTTGGCAGGACCAGCCGGCTGCACAGACTTAATCCACTGCTTTTTAAAACGCATCTATGAAAAGAGAGGAGACGTTGGTTGCCAGATGCTTAACTTTTTTAGTCTTTGATGTATTTCGGATATGGCGGCCCTAGTGCAAACGAAGGGAGAAATAGGGACAGTTAGGACTGAGTGTTTTCCGTCAGATGCTTTCCTTGGTTGGGGCCCTCTTCCCTGCCCCCATCCGCAGTAGATACACACCGTGCACATACGGTACAGGAAATCTGTACATCTCAGGAGTGCCAGGTTTGCAGTGCACATACACAAGGACAGAAGTGTACATATACAGTAATCCTGAGGGTTTGGGAACACACCAGGTTGACAGGACATGTATGGTTTAGGGAGCCGTGGGTCAACAGAGGATATAGACAGAGTAGGCCTGGCACGCTGGGTGGTGTTGGGCTTGCTAAGGGTGTGTGAATTCCTGTCATGTGGCACCTTTATCATGGCATGTGGCCATCCCTGATACTGAAACGAGATCATGCAGTTTATCAACCTCTTCCAGAGTGTGCTCAAAGCCTAATTCTACTCCTAATCTTAATCTTATCTCACTCCTTATCCCACGGATCTCTGCAGTCAGATGGTTTAAACCAGCACGACTTTTCCTGCTAACCTGGAGGCGCTTTCTAAGCAGTAGTTTATCAATATCTGCTGACCTGAGCCCCAACCCTAAAACCAATTCCAGTATTATGCTTTATCCTAGGCCATAACCTTCTCCTAATTCTGGATGTAAATAAAGCCACATTACCCTTTGATACCAGGTTTCATTCTGTGCTGGTGCTTGCTGGGCTGAACTGCCATCCTAGCCTTAGCTCTGTTAATTCTTCCAGCTTTTAACGTCATCGTAGCCAAATCACTACTGCCAGTACTAGGCTTTTCCTTAGCTCTTCTTCAGAGCAGCGGTGTTGTCAGTAGTATCTTCAAGTTGTGACACTAACCTTTGTCACTGCCTCTGGTACCTTTTTCTGCAGGTCTCGTAGAAGATAACGTAAGGAGGCAGTGGTCTTCCTGAACCAGTATTTTGCTCTTACTTACGTTCACCTTTCATCCCAAAGGTTAATTCAACTTTAACAGGAACCTGATATGTAGCTGAGCCACACCTTGTCTCAGAGACAAATATAGGTGGATGACCCCTAGTTCTTAGTGGCCTCTGGTCCCAGATTACCTAAGTAATCACTTATAGGTAGTGCAGTAATAATATTCATTAATTCTGACTAAAAATTAACTGTTGTGCAACTGCTGCTTCACAAAAAATGAATTAGTAGCCCAGATTCCATAGTAAACAAAACTTGTACCTAGGAAATCTCTGTGCTGGCCTTTTAATTTATATGAAAATTATTTTCAGAGCAGCATGTGCAGTATTGTGTTATCTCGCTATAACAAATGTAAGCAAGATTATGGTTTGCAGTACTTTTATTGGTACAAATTCATGTTTGTGCTTTCCTTGTAAGAAGAGAATAAATTACGTTTCTGTGAAAAAAAAAAAAAACATATTTCAGATATTTGAATCGTCCTTTAGTCATTGGCATGGTCTCTAAAACAAGAAACTTGTAAGTCTAGGTGACTTGTGTGCCTTGGTAGTTCAGGTATATTAACGACTACTTTCAGCTAGAAGGAACAGAAACTTACAGTGGTGATACTGATCTGCTCATGTTTTGTTTTGAGTACTCTGATGGTAGTACAGATCAATTATCTATTGCATGTGTAGAGTTATAGAGGATAAGGAGAGTATGTCCTGTCTCCATGCAATTACAGGTGGGATGAGAAGATCTACATTTAGATCTCAGTATTTTGGAGGCTGCCTCTGAGTTCAAGGACATACATTATTATCATATGTATGGTATGACCCCATGTAAGTATAATACGGGAACCTGTCAGAGAGGAACCAGAAAATGCAGTTAAAAACAAGTCTGGGTATTTGTTTATGACAGACAGTTAAAGAGTTCATGTTACAGGAATTCAGAGGCCTGTAATTTTGCCTGGTCCATGAGGTTAAAATTAGTAAGATGCAGCTTTCTTTGAGTGTAATTTTGTTTGAGGCTGGGTTGGCTTTAGCAGTTTTATATGAGCCTGCAGAACAGTATTGATGCTTCGTTTCAAAACAAGCAACTTGCAGTGCACCCTGTAACTCTGTCTGAAGCTGGTGAATATTTTGGAACCTTACTGAGATGGTAACCGTTTTATGTTAAAAAGAAAGGCAGCAACATTGGGCATT